TCTCGAGTTACCTTTTTTTAAGTTTTTCACTCAAAAACTACCTCACCGAACATGCCCTAAATAACTCAACCATCCTACTTTCAATCTTTGAAAAAGTTATTTACTTGTTAATTAATGTAAACATTCCTAATTAGTCTCTTTATGAAGTTGGGCTAGAAGTTTTTTCTTGGATAGTTTTAAGAATTTCCTACAAACTAGACTGTAAATGCCACTTGAATTTTGATTGGATTATCTTCATAAATGTCATCAAATTATGCACATTATTTTAAAGTGCTATTGATTTATCAAAACAGTTCAAAACACCCCATAATATATAAAATACAATTCACAATATCCCCTCCATTCAAGTCTATTTATAACCTTAACGGAATTGTTGAGGTGGCAGTCATTTTAAATTTTGAAAACTAAATTAAACTGAAAAAAAAAAGATTAGTTATTCAAAAATAGTAAACAAACTCAGAATCAAACTAATTATTGAAAAAACACCTCTCCATTGGAGCTCACTTAAATCAAAGTAATCAGATTTCTTTCTAAGCAGAAAAATAAAATAAAATAAAATAAAATAAAATAAAAACAATCAGATGGAAAAAAAATCACTAATTTTAGCTGCTCACAATTTGGCTGCGAAGACTACTCTGAATGTGTTTTCTTTTAGATGTATTGAGCCATTCCTCGTTGTATTGGTCCCTCATTTGTAATGCTCCCTCTTAGTTCGTCTCAATGAAAGTTTTTCATTTAAAAAAAAAAAATCACTTAAAGACTTGTTCTTTTATACTAAACTCAAAAAAAAAATTTAATTTAATTTCTAACTTTATTTAAGTTCATATTTTTTTATAAAATTTGAGTTTGAACATGAGTTTAAACTCGAATTTTAATTTGAGTTAGAGTTAAAATCTGAGTTCAAGTTCCCTCTTCAACTTAAATTTTTAAACTCAAATTTAAATTAATAAACAATATTTTTTCTATTATTAAAAACGTCATAATTTTTTTAATTTAATTTTAATTGAGATGATTTTTTTTATACATTTTTAACGAAAATATGAATAAAATTTCACTCATATACCTTATTAAAATTATTCATCACTATCGAGTTTTTATTAAAATACTATTTAAATATAAATATAAATTTTGATTCATTCAAACACAGACTTAAATAAATTCTCAATTTAAATCATAATTTAAATGTGCACGTACAAACACAAACTCAAATTATAACTTAAATTTAACTTAAAATTTACCTTTCAAATAACTCGTAACTTAAAAATACAACCGAACAAGCCTAGGGTTTTTCCCCCCTTGTTGCGTTCTTGACTTCTTGTTGCAGACCTGTAGCCATTGCAGCCTTCCTTCAATGAATTTCTTTTCTACCAAAGAAAAAAAAACAATAAGATTAAAAAAAACCCACGTCTATGACAAGAAACACAGTCCATGGCGGCGACCCGAGGCGGCAGTGGCGGAATGAGTCGCGGATTAAGTGCTAAGCCAAGAAGCTGATATGGGTGGCATCGTGAGAAGGGGGCGACGGTGGAGCTGTGCGCACCTGGACTGCTTTGTGCGAACGGTGGTGGGACGAGGGCTGGGCGGCGGAGAATACGCGACGATCTTAGCAATAGGGTGATGCGCGGATCTTGGCGGCTTCGAGCAAGAGAGAGGTGCAAGGCTAAGGGGCAAATTTTTTTTATAAGATCTGTGTTTCTTAGAACATTGATTTTGCTCTGGAGATGGAGATTCAAAACGACGTTTGAATTTAGAAGAGCTTTCTCATTTTTCTTTAACTTTATGTAATTTGGTGGACTAATTGCTAGAACAAAAGAACATAGCACAGTGTTTCGCTATGAATGATTAGGGTTTTCATTTTGGGTCTCAAAGTTTGAGGTAGAAGAAGATAATTTTATTTTGGGTTTTTTTATAACATTCTTAAAAATATTTTTCGTTCTTCTTTATTAGTTTTAGGATATTTAATCATTATTTTGCATTTAGTTAGAATTTAATGGTTTTGATTAATTGTTAATTACATGTCATGTCATACTTTCCGTTAAGGTTATAAACAGATTTGGATGAACATGGTATTTTAAATTATTTTCTATACATTAAGAAATACTTTAAATTGTTTTGATAAATTAAGACAATATAGTACATATTTTGAGACATTTATGAAAATAATTCATTTTGATTCGTATGATCTGTTCTTTCAATCTTTGAAAAAGTAATAACAATTTCCCCTTCTTAGAATTTTCATTGGGAAAAGACGTCGAGATGGCCACGTGATATTCTTTTGAGGGTAACATTGTAAAGGGACAATTTGGAGTTAAAAAGAAAAATCCAAATCATCCATTTATCTTACCCTAACTAGTTTGTAATAGTGCCTACGGTACTTCGGTGCTTTTAGTTTTCTAATTAATTGTAAGGGGGAAGATAAATTACTAAATGAGAAATTAAAATCTTATTAAAAGAGAATATTTTTATAAGTAGAAAAGAATAGAAATAGTTTATGCAAAATATAGAAGAATGAAAATACATAAAGCCTATTTTGTGTTAGGTTTGTGATTACCAAAATCGTTCTGCTTGTATAGATTTTGCTTATATACATGATGAGCTAATACATGCCTACATATTTTAAAGCCTTTCGTTTAACAAAGTAACAAAATCCCTATCAATAGATCCAATATACTAACTCTGGAAACCAAGAACATATGATCGATAAAAGGTAATTTACTGGTGGATCATCAGTGGCAATTACTTCTTGGAGTAGGTTAGATACGCAACTTTGTTATAATTGCTTTTTGAACAAATAGTGATAATATTTGTTAATTAAGTCAAATGAGAGAAATAAAGTGAGGAAAAAAAAAACTATAAAGGTGAAAATAACAAAGACAGTGAGAATATGAAAGAGCAGAGAAAAGAAAAATATTATGGCTATAATTAAGTTGAATACATGAGCATGAAATTGTGAAAAGGAAAAAGAAAAGAATAAGGGAGCAAAACGTACAAAGCAATAGCAAGAATTAAGTCCAGAGAGAGAGAGAGAAATATATAAAAAAAAAATGAATAAAAATTGAAGTGTGAGGTGTAAAAAAATAAAGAAAACTATGTGGATTAAACTTGAACCAAACTGAGTGAAAAGAGAATAAGTTCGAAGTTTGAACCAGCAAAGATTAGCAATTTTATTTTACCATTTAGACTTTTTTCATATAATGTGTGAGAAGATAAATAAGCCAAATGGTCTAAATTTAAACCATTAGATCTAAGTCAAGTGAAAAATGAGTAAGGTTGAACCATTAAATTGGTGAGGTTGGAGTACAATTTTTGTATACTCATCCTCTCTTCTTATCTTTCCATTTGTCCTAAAACTCCAAAAATATGTTGCAGATCTTCTTAATGTTTGTTGATATCAGTCACGAGATGAAATTGAGTAGTAATAGAAAGGTTAATTTGATTGGGAAATAAATCGTACCTATCAAAATCCGGGAGCAACAATCAATTTTCGAGGAAAAATGTTAAACTGTCTTCTTTTCTTGTGAGAATGATTGCATTGCCATTTATTAATTAGCAACCTTTGTACATGTTGTTAGAGAGATCGTAATATATCTCTCAATCTTGATATTACAAAATTAAATTAAAACACATTCGAAAATAGTGGGCTGACGCAAGCACGCGCTGCAGCGCGCAGGAGTGTGCGCTGCAGCGCACGGACGCGCTGCTGCGCGCTTGGGCGCCGCAGCCTGCGCAAAACAGACCTCTCGGGTCTGTTTTGCTAGGCTCGCGCGCTGCAGCCTGCGCAAAACAGACCTCTCGGGTCTGTTTTGCTAAGCCCGCGCGCCTCTTGGGCGCTGCAGCGCAAATTGTCGACGGAAAATGTGTTTTAGTGATCTGAAAAGGTCTCGAACCATTGCATCTATTTGTGATATGTTTTCTCACATATCTGAGTACTTATTAATAATATAAATAACTATTTATATAAGTGCATCAGCATATAAAAGATAACCATCAAATTGAAAATGTATCTTTATGTGAAAGGTTGTAACACTTAAAGAGGATGGATGCATCTTTGTCTTTATTTGATGGACTTCAAAAAATACAGATATATTAATTGTTCTGAAACTCAATATTTTTTACTGAATATTGTGTTCAAGGGTTTGTTGTATCTTGGGGGTAATTTGTCATTTAAAACTCATTCGCAAATTTTGAAAAGTGATGGCAAATAAAATCTTAAAGCAAAATATTCCTATATACCTCAAACCCTTTTTCTACTTTTTCTATTATTTTCATCCTTCCAATTCTGAATTTCATCAACACATGATTACATGATTTACATAGGTAAATTTTGACGCTCATTAAGAGTGAAGACGTGACATTTCAAAACTCACTCTGCAGTGATACACGTCAACGATTAGAACAATTTATACAAGTCACCTATAAATACTAAGCTCCACCTACTAATAAAATATCAGTCTTATAATATAAAGTTAATCTTTTGTTAATAATAATGTTTAACTGTATTTTTAAATTGGACTCAACATGTCGCTTGCATGTGCCAAGCTACTAGAATGACAGGTAAGATGCAGGGGTTGGGGTTCGACCAGCCCCGATCTGACTAAAATGTGAACTTTGAGTATCTCGCTCATGGGTACAAACACAAACACAGCAAACCATGACCCTTGGCGCATCTGCCTCCATACCGGCCCTGAAAAACACCACATCCCAAGCCAGACGCCGCCACCGCACACTAATTAAATGAGTAAAATGTGATTTAATGTGAAAATTTTTTACTATAAATAAAAAATTAAATATAATTATTTTTAAAATTTTTTTACTATAATAAAATTTAAATTTTAAATTTAAATCAATAAAATGAATGGAAGTTGGGGCCGAACAAAACAACCCATCAAACTAATTCCCAGAGTCAGCGCCACGTCACCTATCCCCACACGCCAAAAAAAAAAAAAAAAAAAAAAAAAAAAAAAAAAAAAAAAAGACAAGAGAGAGAGGGAGAGGAACAAGTGCACGGTGTCGTTTTCTCTCTCAGCCTTCAGCATCAGGCACAACACAACCCAAAAGCACCTACGCACGCCGCCTCACGCCAACCCGTCTCCGGTAATTACTCCTTTTCAGTTCTGCAATATATTTATGAAAGAATAGGCTTTTGAATTTGTGGGTGTCGACTTGATTGGTTGATTTTTGTGGATTGTGGATTTTCTTTATATTCTTAGTCGTTTATTATTTGATGCCTGTGGTTTAGATTATGTCCAAAGGGGTTTTTAATTTTAATCAATTGCAGATTTTGATTTGATTATGCTAGTCCTCATTTTCTGAAATGTGCGAACTAAATGCTGTGGATTTCTGAATATTTTTACATGATTGAGGCGAACACTGAAAGGATCGCAGTTCTCTCTCTCTTAAGGAATTTCAAAATTCGCACTTAAAAGTTAGTTTTGGCATTACCTGAAAGATTTTTCCACCCCCCACCCCCCAATATATATAGATGTACACACAATCTGCTTTTGTATTGATCATTTCTCTTGCATATCAGATTACTAACCTTAGTGCCGTGTTTTCATTGACAAAAAAAGGGTAAAGATGGAGAATGATGTTCTTCGTAGTCATTTATTCTTAACTAGGGGTTAGCAGTTAGAAATACATTAACTTTTGGGGTCATTTATAAGAGTATAATAAATTAATTCATTGTCAGTTACATCTCTACTGAGAAACCCCAAAACCCCATCTCCAAAGTTCCGTTGCCAACCACAGCTTCCGCCAGCTGCCGTCGTTGCTTTGATTTTCATAGATATTCCTTCAATCTCCTCCTATATCTCTTGAGGCTTGATTTGTCGTTGCACAAATACTCTTTTGAGTTTTTGACTTGTTTATGGCATGTACCTTTTGAGTTTCCTCTTCGTTTTTGCTCTTTACTTATTTCCTTGTTTTTAGAGATTTGGGGATGGTTGATTTTGCCCCAAGCATGCTACTAGCTTCTTCACATTTCTGATAGTTTCTACAGTTTGTTATAGTATCAGTTATTTCACAAGCAGTAACAATTTTGTTGAATATAATCTTGAGAGAAAGACCAACCAAAAAGAAGGGGTGGAACTGGAAATAATTAATGCGAAAAGAGCGTAGAAATAAACTTACAATGTGTTGGAATCTATTTTCTTTGAAAATTTTTGAGGAAACTGAAAATTCTCCAAACGATAATTTTCCCTCTGTGTGTGTGTGTGTGTGTGAAGCTGAAGGAGCCCTAGAAAAAGCCGTTTCAAATCTTACTACTCCAAGTTTAAATTCTGGATTTTCGATTGGATTCTCTTGATCCATACAAAACATTCAAATATGTTGCTGTGGTAAATCTCTGATTCGCGACCAATTTGGGGGTCCAATTTTGTTTGGATGTTGGTCAATTTGACAAGTTTTCATTATTGAGGGGTTTGATTTTTCATTTATTTTGCGCTCATATGTTCGGTGTATATGAAAGGAGTCTGCAGAGATGGTCTGAGTTGGAGTTTAGCTGAAGTTGTGAATTGTGTTCTGGAGTTTTAACCCTTGTTCTTCTCTGTTCTGAGTGTGGGAGAGAATCATGTAAAGAATATGATGAACTAGGTTAGGTGAAATGGAAAGTTAACAAAGGGATTAGTAAAAAATTCATCACTTTAGTTTCAATTGTATGGTTTTTGTGTTTCTTCATAGGAAAGCTTAAGAAAGAGATAGTTGGAATGGTTTATGTGTTTTTTTTTTTTTTGGGAGAAAATTTTCGTTGCATTCGCAAGAATAACATAATCATTTTGGACATTACATGCACAAAAAAGAAAGGCTCTAGGTTGCTGTGTTTAAACTGATTGTTAAGTGGTCATTTTTCTTCAGGATTTGCAAGTTCATCAAGCAATCAACATCATGAACTTTACAGCATCAATATGCAATAGACTAAATCTGAAGCAGCTGGTTTCCAATCCTCCGGTTTACAGCAGTGCTACTGGTGGGCGTTACCTCTTATTCCGTTCCGAATACAAAGACATTTTCAAATCTGTGGTTTACTATTACTGTTTCTAATTGTTATGGTATTGTCCTCAATTTAGATGTCTCTGGAGAAGGATTGAGTTTGATCTTCAGGCGCTGGGCTACCAAGAAAACCGCAGGATCAACAAAAAACGGCCGAGATTCGCTTCCCAAGAATCTTGGAGTCAAGAAATTTGGGGGAGAGGTGAGTGGCTGTTGCTTTGAAATGAAATTAACTTTACAATGGAGTAAAGGCCGGCCAAGTTTTCCAGTTTTAAACTTGAGCCTCTAAGCCGGTTTGGGGAATTTCTTGGATTAAAAGAAAGAAAGAAGTCTGGTGAACTTTTGTTGCTTTAACTTAACATTGTTTTGGTTCCTATTTTGTTATGCAGAGGGTGATACCTGGAAACATTATTGTTCGCCAAAGGGGTACACGTTTCCATCCAGGAAATTATGTGGGCATGGGAAAAGATCACACCCTTTATGCTCTAAAAGAAGGTTTGGTTAAGTTTGAACGACACAAGCTGAGTGGACGCAAGTGGGTGCATGTTGAGCCCAAGGATGGTCATGTGCTTCATCCGGTCTATGCGGATGCTGCAGCGATGAAGAAGATGGAGACTATGGCGTAAAATTTTTTGATAGAGTTTAGTGCCTCTTTTTTTTTTTTTTTTTTTTTTTTTTTTAAGCTCTCAAGTCTCGGAAGAATTGCCATTTTTTTGGTTTCAGATTGATTATCAGAAGCAAATAAAATTAACTCTTCTGCCTAGAGATGTTCCTTTTTTTTTCCCTTCCCCTTAGCCTATTGTCCATTGTTTTCTGTTTATGAATGAACTCTTCTGTGGGGCTAACCATTTGACAAAAATGAAAAGAAAAAAAAAGGGAAAGGAAAAAGAGTATGTTATTAAGCCCAACTGTCGGTAAAATAAGTATTTAGGTTCTATATCATTAACTGTGAAACAAAGTTCCAAACAAAAAAGATGCAGTGAATTCAGGATAGTGTGTTTCATGAACACAAGTATATTATCAGTAAAGCAAGACGGTCTCTTGTGCATCAGCTTATTCTCCCTTCTAGTTCTTCGAACCCATCTTGAATTTGATGATGAAAATCGGTTTTAAATAAGTAATCGTCTTCTTTCAAAAGCATCAATTAGTAACTCATCAGAATCTCCTCAAATCCAAACCAAGTTTGTTTCCTATCTGCTTACTCCTCAACAGCCATATTGTTTGTACGAGAACTCGGTCAATTCCCAATGGGGACTTTTACCAACCAACTCCTCTGGTAACATCTTGAAAAGCTTTCCTTGCCTTCCACAGTAGACATATTAACCATAAACCTGTCTATTACGTTTCCCTAGGCATCGATGTTCATCACCTTCATTTGTTGACCTTATATGAATCATAAATCTTTGGTTTGTGTATTGCAAGAATGACACGGTTTTGTTGGATTATTCTCATCCTTCACTTTGCCATTCTGTTTCAGCGGCAATTACTTCTTTTTTGACAGCTCGAGAACAAGATCCATCATGCAAGCCAAGAGGGCTTGAAGAATTGAACCTGAGGGCAACTTGGCAGATGGAGTTTGAGAATTAGAAATTATGATTCCACCTCACTTTCAGAAAAATCAATGACTGTCCGGTTCACCATAGCGTTATCGCCATCAATCTCCTCAGTATTAAGGGGGTTGTCATTCCTGACACCAGATTCGAATCTGCGGCGTCTCTCCTTTATAGCTTCAATCCTCTGCTCGAACTCTTCATCAGTGCTAGCCAGCATGTAGCGTAGTTTCATACTGATCCTATTCTCTACCAGAATCTTGTGCCTTGGAATAATTCGGCCTTCAAGAGAGTAGCTGAAAAACCTACAAATAATTTCAACTTGGTCATAAAGGGAAAACAAAAATTGGCAGCATTTTAAGAAAACAAATATATCCACACTTTAAATTTGAGAGCAGGAAGAAAGTTTGCATTTGCTCAACGTCTAATTTGGTCAATTGAAAGTGGCAAGCACCATAAAAAATGAGAATGACTGCTACAAACGCTTTGGCACTTTTACGGATTTGACAGCTAGATAGGGGAAGCAAATATTAAGGTGAGGAGCAATTGTACAAAACGAGTGAAGCAGTCAACTAGTCAAGGGAAGATTGGTAAATTCAACTGAAGGTAACAACAGCTATCTGTAATGATTTTTACCTTGGAAATTCAATCACATCTTCCAAAGAGCGGACCATGGTCCTCCGCAAGTAACGATACTTTGGACGGAGGAGATCTACATTGTACCGGAGCAGCATGGGAAAATCAGCAATCATTTCACCCAATTGTCGAAGACGAATGCCAAGTGACAGAAAATATTTTACATTGATCTCGAGCTTATGCACAATACTGCATCCCAAGAGCTCTGGTCCCAAAGCTATAACCTTCCCAATATCCCTCTCACTGACTCCAGCTTTCGTCATCAAGAATATTACCTGTATAACATTCCATTTTTAGTAAAGCACAATCAACCCCTATCTATCGATTTCAGCATAAAAAATGCAAAATAAAGCTTGCAACACCAACCTACAGGGCGTTGTTTAATATTAATCTAGCTCAAATTGCCACAAAAAAAAAAAAAAAAAACACCGGATCTGATTCTGACAAAATAAATTGCGAGAAAAAAAATATATTACAATATTCTCTAAACAACTTGCCAGTAAAGGTCAGTTAGGAAATAAGATTAAGGGCCGTTTGTTTTATATACTCAAACTCAAATCATTAATTCTGCTACGGTGTTTTCTCTCACAAAAAATTTGAATTTCAAACCTCAGAATCACGAATCATGGTTCAAGTATACCTTCCAAACTGGACCTAAATAAATAGAAACTTAAAGCAGGTGCAGTCGATAAAAAATCCTAATTAGTTCCCATTCGTCGTAGTTTTATATCAGACACAGCCTATGAAAGGAAAATTCACTTGTACATCAGCTCAAAAGACAGAATTCTGGGTTGATTCATTGAAACCAACTTCAACAAGATTTTTCATTTGAGTTTTCCAGCTCAAAATCTAGCACATCTAAGGCCACGTTCATTTCACCGATTCGAGTTTTCAATTTTAAGTTTTTACAGTAAAAAGCTCTCAGAAAATATCACATCTAACTTTTTTTGCTACAGTGAAAAGCTCTCAGAAAATGTCACATCTCAGCTTGAATTGAAAACTCAAATCCGCGAAGTGAACGAAGCATAAATCTATCTAACAAATCTAAATGTATGCACTCTCTCTCTACTTTCTTGGAAAAGGAGAGGGAGAAGCTTGGAGGAACAAAGGCAAATAAAAACAGAACTTGAATGAGAAAAGACATACCACAGCCCGGATTTTCTTGTGGAGGCTGTATGTCAGCAGTGGAGGAAACTTTACAAGCATGTTGCCTATAGCATCATCTCGAATGCCAATGTCCTGAAAAAATTGTACCTTGCAAGAGAAACAAATGAACGTCAAATTGTTATCAAGAAGCATGACAACAAAAGCCTTGGAATCTGATTGCATAGTGTGGGTTTTGTATAAATTTCTTATGACTGGAATTCACTAAGTACAACGAAAGAGGGAGGACATGATCCACTTACTCGTACCTCAATCGAAAAAGTATCCAACTAGATTGTTCTATTATACATTCAAAAGTGAGACATTTTGCAAAAAAGTTAAAAAAAATCATTTGCAGTATGTCATACCTTTGGCACTATGGTTGCCTCCAAATCCACGCAGAAAACCATTGGTTTTATAGTAAGCATTCTCCTCATACCATCTCGTGAAATTCCGTGGTAATACAAATACTTAACTAGAGGCTTCCATCTTTCCTCAATGCCACAACCCATCAATTGTGGCTTAAATGCCAGTAATTTTCCAACTTCCTCATGATTAAGGCCAAACTCTTTTAAGTAGCTAACCTAAAACAGAAAGAACAGCATCTCACTATAAGCCTACGCAGATTGGCAAAGTGGGAGTAATCAATAACAACACATCCTGCTCAAATTGACCCCATATCAGCCAAAAGTTGAGAATACTCAATAATATTTAAAAATATTTGGCTGCTACTAACACTTTTACAGGAATGCCTTGATTGGTTCGGAATAACAGCCAACATAATCAGTAAAGGGGAAAAGAAAAGCGAAAGAACTACCTTCTCGTTCATCTCTATAAGAGAATAGTAGCCGAATACCCTGGGATAGTCAAAGACCATTGTGCCAAAATCCTTCTCATTCATGCCCATATCCAAGAAGAACCCCACACGAGCTTCTACTTCTTCCATACTGTAGGACAACAATTGGGGACATCGACTCAACACATAACCCATCCACTCTCTTCTAACTCCATTTCTCTCCAAAAATTCAACAATCTCATCAAATTCTTTGTTCTTGCGTTGGAAAAGATTTTCGCCTGCTTTCAACATTGCAACTCCAACGAATCTCCCCTTGACATGCACCGACTTTAACCACTCAACAAGTCGGCTAATGGACTCTAAATTCCCCTTCGTCATGCAAATGAGCTTAGCAATTTGGGGATACGACAGTGAATTATGCTTCAACCACCTATACAACACATTCATTAATGAAAAAAAAAAGTGTAATCCCCTTCCTTTTTGACGTCAAAAAACAGCCAATCATCAATTCAATCCCAACAAGAATCAAAAGAGTAGAACTGGTGTTTAATTTTTGCCTCATAAAATTACTGCTTTAGGTTTCATGTGGTGACTAATACGCGCATTACTATAGATATTAGAACCAAGAACAAACAAAATATTACTAATAATAAGAAATCCTACCAGTAATGAGTATTTCTTAGCCGTCAAACTTTCAGCAAAATTCCGTAAGCTTAGGATACTATTTCATTCTTATATGTATTTTGATATGACATGATATTTAAAAATTTGCACTACTAGTAGATCCACTGAAAAAAAGTTCCAGAAATAAAAAACACACATGTAAAATCCTTATACATTTCGTGCCTTAAAGCGTCTCCAATGCAGTGCCAAATTAGTTTTTCAATGCTTAGTTTAGTATTTGAGTAGTAAAACCACCCTCCAATACAATGTTATTTTGGTGCTAAATTGGATACATGCTATATTTGATGTCAAATTTAGCACCACGTATTTGATTACTTAATCAAATACTGTCATTTTGAAATTATTTTAATATTAAAAATTTACTTTTACATATATTAAAGCTTAATAATTATGATAACAAGGTAAATATATAATTCAAAATAGCATTTTGTATTAGAGCACAGCACAAAACAAAATAGCATATCAAATATTTTACTTTCACACTATGTGGTGCCAAATATAGCATTGATATTGACATTAACATTGGAGAAATTCCAGAGTTTTAGGACGAGACTTGGTAATGATTGACTTAAATGTAAATTTAAAAACTCCAATAATTAGTTACTGCTTTACGCAATGCAGCGAAACATCAAAATCTGGAAACTTTATTGGACGCCTTACCTGATCAAAGGCACAACTTTGGAGTCCTGAATAACAGTCTTGGCGCGAACGTTGAACGTGGAATCCGAATACTCCGGCAACCGCTTAAGCGACGCCGCTTCAACCATAACGTAGTCAATGAATTCTCCCAAGCTATCCGCCAAATTGGTGGTGTAAGTGATCCCGAATTTCCCCTTTCGCATCGCCTCCTTGAAAATCTCGGCCGTCACCTTCCTCCGAATCTCGATCGCCCTCATTATCATATTCCGATCATCGTCGTCGTCGGCTCGGTCTCGGAAGAAGAGAGACTGAATTGGCGGGAGAGAAGTGGCGACATCGGCATCGCCGGGGGACTGGACGTAGATGGAGCCGGGGAACTGAGGAGTGCGCTGCCGTACGAGGGAGAGCTCAAGGAGTCTCGCTCGCTCCTCCGGCGACACGTGGCGGTGGCGGAGGTCTTCGGGATTCGGGAAGTCCGAGTGTTGCGACGAGTGAGAGAGGTGGCGGAGAAGGAGGGCGGTGGACTTGGAGTTGTGGCGACGGGGGTTGAGATCCGGCGGCGGCGGTGGTTGAGGAGTTTCGTCTTCACGGCGGCGGAGGAGGGAGGCGCGTGGAGAGCGTGGGGGAAGAATGGTGGAATAGAAGTGGCATGGCGGACATGAGAGCATCTTCTGTGTGAGTGAGAGGGAAAAATGGATAAAGTGGCGCCAGTGATAGGGAGGAAGATATCTATCTGAAATTCAGATATATTTTGACCTTTCTCAATATTTAATTTAAGATAAATTAATATATTGGACGCCAAATTGCAAGAAAATGGTCCCATGGTCTAGTGGTCAGGACATTGGACTCTGAATCCAGTAACCCGAGTTCAAATCTCGGTGGGACCTTTTTTTAGTTTTATTTTTTTTTTTACTGTGAATAACCACTAACCTGTTACATTTTTTTTAGGGAACTGTGTGTAACTTCTTCAAGTTTTGGTTTCTCAACAATGTCAACGTGTGACTTGATTTTTTTTTTGGGTATTTATTTTTGGTTTTTTTTTTGGTGTATTTTGTTACATACTTTATGATATTATTCTCTCAAGTTCTGCAGCTGCAACATACTTCTTTCTTTTCTTTCCTTCCCCCCCTCCCTTTTTTTTTCGAGTTTCGGTTTCTCAACAAGTTCTTGGACTTTTTCTTTTAGTTTATTACGAGCTTATTGTTCGCGTGATGCTGTGAAAAGTATTGTTGACAATGTTTTTAATGTAAAAGCAGTTCATAAATGTATTTATATATAAATACGCATAGTATTTTAGTCTAAAATATATTTATGGATACATATATTTTTGTTGTAATCTTTAGATAGAACAATGGAGGTATATAAAATGAGATTACGGATATTAAAAGGGCAGACTATATGTATTTAGTTGATGAAGATAAAAACAATGTGCCGAACAGAAGACAAAGTCAGTGAGAAATTGGTTACTGGATACAAGCGAAAGAAAAAAATAGTCAGATATCTGTAGTTGTATTTGTGGAGCTGTGATGAAAGAGATTGAATTAAAAAAGAGATGGAGTCAAAAATTAACTGAAAAAGTGAGCGATTAGGTTCTATAATTTAAGAAAACTCAAGATAATTTATATAACAAAAGCATCAAAAAAATAGAGACGATAGATATCATTATCAATAGTAGGACGTGGGACAGTATTTAATGAATTGATATAGGAGGAAAAAATATTAACATGGGAAGGGAAAGAATTTAAGAAAATAAAAATAAATAGTAAGTATCAAAGTTGATGGCGGTATTTGTACAAAAGTACTTCGTAAAAGTGACTGTAAGTAAAGGAGAACAGTCAATATGAGAGAATTTAGGAGGAGCTTAATTGATTAAAGAGTAAGGTAGAAAAAGAATTAAAACGATTTTAAGAAGAATAGCAAAATAGGAATCGCCAAAAAAGAGAAAGAAAGAATGACTGCATAAAATTGATAAATGAATAAAATAGATGCACTTGTGGTAGTTATTGTATGAATCAAGCGTGATTTAATTTGTTAAAGTTATAGATATTCATCATCGCTACATGGAAAAATTGATTGAAGATAAGATATGTTAACTAAATGCATGTGTATATAGATGCAAATCAAAAAAGAATGGGGAGTGTCATGACCCCAAGGATAGAGCCGTGATTATTAGGGTTTAATTTAAATTTAACTTAATTAAACTGGACTGTTTAATAAAAATCACAAAAATAAATACATAAATATCAATATAGTTTGCTCCGGAGACTTTCTTTCACAATAATATTTAAAATAGTCCATAAAGTCCAAGAAAAATAGTACAACTCTGGGACAATGTCGACCAATACAGTTTACATACAGAAATATAGTACATCTCAAAATTTAAAACTGTAAATCCGAAATAAACGTACCGCTTCGAATCTCACACCTTCAATCCATTGGCATACACTTGTCACGCTGTAAATCTAAACTGCTAACTCTGGAGGAGGGGTTTAAAACATTGAAAACATAATAAAAGTGAATGGAGGACCCAGTAGGATATAATTTATAAAACTGAATAAATAAATAAGTGAACAAAATGAGAGAGTCAGGCCCGAAATAATCAATCGAAACCAAACAACCTTTTTCTGAAAGGTAAATAAACTGAAATTCCATATTTCAGGCAACCAGCAAGTAATTAAATTACTTGTGACCAAAGCAATGCCTTATTACCACCATAGTGGCCCGTCCGGGTTTCGGGTTCTGCCCCCAAGGATACGATCTCCATATCTTATCTAGGCCATCAGCGGGCTTACTAATTTGCAAGATCTCTTGTCTTAAAAAATCATTCATTAAACTTTCTGAAATAGTTCATTATAATTCCAATAGCTAAAATCAAGCTATGGTGTCAAAAAGTTTTTCTTTTGCAAACATGCCCTTTCTTTAAAACATTTACAAAGCCAAAACTCTTTGAAAACAGGCTAACAAAAAAAGGGATCAGGAATATCATACCTCTCGGATGTCAAACCTGTAGCTAACTTCTTGTCACCCTAACCTCCGCTTTCCTTAAAGCTTTAATACTCAATCTTCTCCACTAACTTTATGACAAAAGCAGTGTCTTACGAAGTATTTCTCATTTCTAAAACGAATTAAGCTCAATCATATTTAATTGTTTCCTATTAGTGTGCCTTGACTCAAATCCAAGTTTCACAAACAATTTTATAATCAGTTTTAGGGTTCTTTAAGGATTGAAATCCAATTCATGGGTTTGGTTTCCTATTTAATTTCAGCTTAAAAATAACTTTTTAAAGAAATTTCAGCAGCATGCCGGCATAAATAAGAAAAATGTCAAACCTGCAATTCAAGCTCAATTTCAAAATAAATTCTCTAGAATCCATCAAAATCAGTTTCCAATCAATTCAACAAGTCTAATAACTCCCAAATTTCATTCAATTCTAACAACAATTATTTAAATCCAAGCCCTAACTCAAAATTATTCAAATCTAACCAAAATCAAACTTTCTCAAGTTTAAATTTCAAATCAAATAGTGGGTTTCAAGGGGTTTTACCTCAAATTAGTTGATGGAGCATTGTTTCCCTTTGTTTCTCCCATTTTCGATTTTTTCTTTCTTTCTTCCCTGTTTCAACAAGGAACTCCAAGAGAGAGAGAGAGAGAGAAACCCAAAGAGAGAGCAAGGGAGAAAGAGACTGAAAGAGAGAGAGAGGTGGCCGGAGAGAGGGAAGGAGTGGTGGCCGGCGGTGAAGGAAGAAAGAGAGAGAGAGGGTTTCCATGGAGAAGAAAGAAGAAAAGGAAAGAAAGAAAGAGAGAGAGAGAGAAAGAGAGAGAGAGAGAGAGAGAGAGAGAGAGAGAGAAGGGGGGCTGGTCTGGGCAGCCATGGGAAGGAAGGAAAGGGAAAAAGAAAAAAGAAAAGAAAGAAAAGAAAAGGAAAAAGAAAGAAAAGGAAAAAATAAAAGAAATAGGAAAAAATAAAAGAAAATATATTAAAATTAAGTGTATTTTCAAAATTTTTGGGGTGAAAATTGAAAAACTGAAAGTAATTTATAAGTCCTTAAAATAACTCAAAAACTTAACATTTAATCACAAGATTAATTAGAACAAATCAATTTTAGGCACACTAATATACACAATTAACATAAATAAACATGTTTAGTTCTAGAGGGCGTTACAGCTCTACCACTCTTAAGGAATTTCGTCCTCGAAATTTAAGCTTACCATAGGATATGAACAGGTATGGATATCGTTCTTGCATCGTTGCTCCCAGTTCTCACGTCGCTTCCTCAATGCCATGGTGTTGCCACAACACCTTCATTAGCGGAATCTCGCCACGGCATAAACTCTTCATCTTCCG